TTAGTTTGTTTTTGCTTTTTAATACTATGACCCTTTTCACCTGAGTACTTAGGCAAAATTTTAAGTTACTTCAGTCTAGGATCTGAATTTGGTACAAAAGTCAGATTGATTTACAATGCAATTTTAATTTTAATTAGTCTAGCTTCCTTGAATGCAGCAGTATGATCAGTAAGAGGTGATATTGGATACAAGGATTTGGGGGCAGCAGATGTTCCAGTATGTCCTTTGGGGCTTTTTTGAGGCCTGTTTTCAAGGCTTTTTTAAGACTGGATGTTGTGTCCATATTTTTGGGGTTAAAAATCATAACTAAGGCATGTAATGGGAGAAATCTCTTACCAAGTTTTTTCTTCATAAATTTTATGAAGTTTCAAGTGATATCCATGCCAAATGTGCTTTGAAATGCTACAGGTAAGGTTTAGTGTATATAAACACTTTGTCCCACAAGCCACAGTTTTTACATCAGGGCAACAGATGACTTGCTAGTCCCCTGCTACCAGTCCAGATGTTCTCTCCAGCTCAGGCTTCTGAACTGCTGGTGGAACAGCTGATTATAGCTCAGTACCTTTTTTTTTTTAATTAAATTTTTCTTAAAGTGTGTTATAAACTGTCATAGCTCAGAAACTGCTTTTAACCTTGCAGTCAGTGCTACAGAAACAGGGCAGCTGTCAGGTGTTGAAGCTTGTGTCTTTGTTCTGGTGTAGGTGGTCTCTTCCCCAGCTTGCCCCTCCGGGGTGGGCTGGGTCACCTGAAGCTTTTTTCCCTTGTCCTGTGGTTCAGCCTCGGGCAGGTATCTCCGATGCCGTCTTGCATCTAAAATATCCACCTATGTTTGGATGGTGAGACAGTGGCCTTTTCTGCCACCCAGTGTTTAAATCCTGCATAAAACTTATGCTGTATTTTCTGGGGAGAACAGGTCCACTGCTTTTGCTTGACTTTAGGATCTGACTCTTTAAAGACATGTTTATCTTCTACTGTCTTCAGCAGCCTCTGTTAAGCTCCGTGTTTAAGCTTCCTTAAACAGCTGTTCTTCACCCAAATTGTTTTTCTTTTTTCTGATTGCCTGCTTTACCAGTCTTTGTCTGCCACTGAGGCAACGATAGTAGGTGGAATGAACTGGAACATAAATCTTTCAGAGTTTAGCGTTCTGTTAGTAGGGGTACCTGTCTGAGCTCATAATTCTCTAAACATAGCCGTTCAGAATACTTTTGGTTTTGTTTTCCTTCAATTCAGCGATGAATTCTAAATGCCCATGGAGGTAAAGACTTGTTGTCTTCTTTGGGAGCATCCCCATGGTTTGTAACAGTTTTCAGGATGAAATGGATTCACTGCTACTCTTTATTGCTTACACCATTAGCATTTTAAATAGATTTAAGCTGATGCTCTGTGGAGTATCATGGTATTAAAGATTTTGGTTCCTTGCCTAGTGCTCTTAAGGAAAATTGGCACATGAGCATGGGATGCAGGCTGCAGGTGACACGTTGTGTGTGTTCTTGCCATCCACCTCAGGGGCCCTTTATTGACACACGTTTTAGAGTGCAAAGATTTGACTGCAAACTTCATGTATACAAAGGATAGATAGGATTTAAAGGCTGCTAGGACACTTACTATTTCGGAGATGACAGCTGAACAGACTGCTGGCCAGGCAGGTGTCAGTCAGGTGGGAGAAAGGAGACTGCCACTACTTCTCAAAGACCCTTGGTGTTACTGGGTTGTCCTCGTCACTTTTTCTTTCTTTTGCCTTTTTTTTGCCATGTTCTTCCTTCTGAATCCTAGTGCTCCCAGCAAACCTGTCTGCCTGTAACTTTGCCTTTTTTTATCTTGTCTAGTTCTAATCTAAAGACTTTTCAGTTTTTCTCTCATCTAAGGAATTTTCTCAGAAGCTTAAACTGTGCAGGTTTTGGGATACAGGAATAGGAGAGAGAAAAGCAAGCAGGAGTAGTTTGCACATAATTAGTTAATCATATCCATTTGACTCCCCAGAGTGTAAAAACTGAAGTGTTTCTTTCTACAGCTTCTGAGAATTTAGCAAGGTGCAGGTGTTATTCTCCCAGCTGCCTTTTGGCACTAGTAAAGGCATCTAATGCCATGCCATGGTTGCAACAAATGTTTTCACTGGGAGAATCTTTGGCCATAATTCCATCTGGACTAAAAGTAATGCAGTGAGAGTTGACAATCAGAGAGATTCTCAGTCATGTGATGTCTTTTTTGGTATATTGTTGATTCTAGGGTAATTACAATAGAACAGGGATGTAAGTTGTGTTTCATTATGTAAAACATAAAGCTGTGCCAATTTTAATTCATTTCCTGCCAGTCTTCCTCTACCAAATTAGTTTAGGAAAGCTCTATACTTAAAAGATCTGCATAATATGCATTGGAATTTCATTTGGCTGGTAAAGATTATTTCTTAATGGCTCTTTTAAGGAAGCACTGCTTGCAGCATAATAGTGAGATTTATTCTTCCCCCACCCCTCATAAATGTGATCATTTTGATTAAAGATTGTCTTTAAAAACACTGCCTGCCTATGTTCCTTAGCACTCTGCTTCTAATAGACTGGATTTTGATGGTGACTGTGACAGTATAAAAATACTTTATAAAATTTAAACCTTAAAGTTTAAGACCTTCCATGCCTAAAAATCTTTGGTTTTTTTTTGTTTTCTCTTCTTTTTAGTCACCTTTGTAAATGCTAGTAAGCAACACTTTCAAGTATGGGGACACTGCAGTTTATAAATCACAATTTTTGAAGTAAATGATTACTGAAATCATTAACAGAAGGGATGATACATAGGAACTTACTGCAATGTAATCAGAAAAATTAAAATAATAATGAAAAAAAGTTTCAGCCATGATCATATGATTTATAGTATATGCAGTCGAGAGTTGCTGTATAGTTGCTTTATTTTTAAAGGTTTTAATTAAATAAGCTTAATTGTTTTACTGTATTTTGGTTTTTGCTAAATGTTGTTCTGTGTTTTGGTATAATGGACTGTGAAGCTTTAAATCCACAGATGCTCTAAAACTCAAGCTTCACATAAGAATCCATGTGGCTTTCTTTGAAGTGTCTAGTTTCCCAAATTAGCCTCCAACATAGCATTCACAGCTTTGTGTGAAGTTTCTAAAATGTAGCTGCACAGAAAGTGGTACAGTGATAAAGCAAGATATTGAGATGTGAAAAAAGGCACACTGGAAATTGCAGTCAATCGTCCTAAATATTGTCAGGTAGCACATTTTGAAATATAGAGGTGACTACTTGTAGCCAATTAAATTCAGGCATATCTTCAATAAATGCAGTCACAGTTACCTGAAGCTTATGGTATTTCAGTAAATATCTAAAATTAGCCAAGATTCAGCACATTGCAGAGAATCAATTTGCACGAGTCTAAATGCAATAATGATCTTGCATTTAGTAATCCACACTTGAATTGACAACTTCCACAGTGTTCTGAAGTGATTGCTGTAGCAGTTTACATGAGCAGCCTCTGTTGTGAATAGAAGATTGTGCTGGAGAAAAGGCTGATAGTTGTGTAAGTTTGAGAATAATCCACAAATGAAATGAGGGATGTTGAATTTTCTTTTTAATAGGGTTTTATCCAAAAAAATTCAAGGTTGGAGGAAAATTAGGTATGGTACAACTCATAGCAGGAAAAGAAGATGGAAACATTAAGACAAGTGTTTAGGGATATTTGATTCTATTATGTACTTGTTGTATAATGCACAGATCCACTTGAAATCCATTTTTTGAAAGCTTATTGGAGAGAGCATAAAATAAATAACATGGAACAAATCAATTGTCTACAAAGTAGAAAACAATGAAAATGCTGTAGCATTTCAAAAACTCAATAGCGTATGTATGGACAACAGATCAGAAATAATCTGCAAATAATAATTATATTGGTCTGATATATTGCTTACAGTCTTGAAAGGGGTGCCATGTTTTCTTGAGAATGGCATTAAGACAAAAGTTCCTGTCTCTAGAAGGTGACTGTAAGTGGAGATAGGGAGCAATGCACACAACAGAGCTGGGCAGCCTGCTGCTTCAGGGTGTAGCTTTCTCTGTCCAAACAAATTCCTTTCCATCTGTAGCCACTGACTAAGATTCAGCTTGGGATGGGATTGTAGTGGTGATAGCGTGCTAAAATTTAGGGAAAATCTATAAGGACACACTCAGCTGTATATAAATGTTTTCTGTAGGGGTTATTTAACTGCCAGAATGACTTTGGAACTGATGTTATTGAAAGAAATTTTGTTAGAGTTGATACTTAAGAAATTATTGGTGAAATTGAAAAGAAGATTTTTTTTTAAAAAAAAAAGGTTCTACTGTTCCCATTATAATAGTAATGGATGGACAGGGAGCAGCTTTTGGCTCTGTTCTGGCTGATGTACTTACAGGACAAGTCAGAAGAACTGAAATAGTATATCATGTCAAAAGTGTCTTAATGAATAAGGAAGACTCTGTATTAAAAGCCTTATCCCTGGGAAAGAAAAACAAATTGTTCTATACCAGGTCAGGAGAAAGAGTGGTTTGTGGCTTTTTGGGTTTTTTAAAAGCATACTTTATTTCCTTGGCTATTTTCCCCATCTCTGTGTCCTAATTTGTTTCTGTTCTCCTCTTTGATAAGGGGGCTAACTCTTTACCCTGTATTGATATCTATCTGTATTACAATTCCTTGGCAGCTCATGAAAATTGCTATAAAGTTATTTGAGGGAAAAAAAAAAGAAATTAATTGCCCTAGTTATTAATTAATGGTTTAGATAGTTGACACAAGTTTTTCTAAGTTATTCTACGACAATTAATGAGTTTATTTCAGGCAGAGGAAAGCAAGTGTACAAGCAGTAGTTTGTAGACCTTACCCCTTGATTTATTTAGTGTTACTGCACAGTAATTAAGTCCTGTCAAGTGTAGTTTTAAGGATAGATACATATGAATAAATAAACAAGAATGAAAAAGCACATCTATAGTCACTACTATGTGCTCTGGTAATTTTTTTCTGTAGGAGACGACTTAATTTGTTCAAACAAAGAGCTGAGTATGAAGTTCTCTGAAGAATTGTTAAGTAAAAGTATGGATTTTTTGGTATCTATAATATATTTAGTCATTGCACAGAGTGTTAAACTGAGTATATTTATCAAAAGGCTTCACAGTGAAGAAAAGAATGCTTTTTGCAGTCTTTATTTTTATTCTTTATTCCTTAAGATATGTGTAGAAAGTAAAGTAATGACTGTTGTCACTTTCCTGATTAAATAAACATGTAAGATTGCCTCTTCTTGGCTGCAGGGATTTATGTAAACACCATAGAATTTGTCATTTCATGATGGGGAGTGAAGCCATTTTCCTTTCTCCGTGTCAAGAAGAAAAGAGTTAGACTCTACAGCCTGTTTTTAACCCACAAAGCTTCAGAGAAATTGGTGCTTTTCTTTACTTTTTTTTTTTCTTCAGTGATCAACTTTCCTCTCTTGCTGTTTTTATTTAGCAACATTTTGATTGCAGTGTAGCACACCTTTGATTAGGGCATGATATTTTAGAACACATTTCAGCTCAGGCTTATTATTAGCAGTGTAAATTTTCTAAGACAGTTCTCCAGTGGAGTAATAGAGAAATTGGTGTCTTTTGAGGAAAGAACCCATTTGTTATTAAACCACACCTGGAAGTGAAATCATCCCTATGAGTACAGTGTTACATTTTCATACCCTATCTTTTGCAAGCAGGTGGAGGCCATGCTAATTTCCCCTTGTCTTCTCCCTCTTCCCTTCTCCCCTAAAGACAAAAAAAAAACAAACAAAAAACCCCACCACCACCAACAAGTTATTGTTTCATTTCTTATGGCACCAAGTTAGGCTGGTAAATAATTAGAATAATAATAAAAAATATTATTTTTCACACAAAGGAAATATATATATACTTCACTGGATTTAATGTCAAGTTTGTCTGAATGACATTTTGTGACTGTAAATGTAGTCACAGCTATGAACCAAAAACATTTCTTATTCTGAATTATGACATTTAAAGATAACAGGTTTCTTTTAATTTATTTAGTTATAAATGGACTAAGCTTGGACATTCAGAAAGAAGTTCCAAAAGTTGGTGTTTAAGGAACCAAATAACATAATCTTTCAAAGTGCTCATATACAGTTGATTTTAGGAATAATGACTTGGTGGAATTCATTTTTTTTATTGAAATTTAACTCTTTTAACTCCTTTAAGATTTCAAAGATAGTTTCTATGTTCAAAGAGTCGATGAATTGGAGTAATTTGTCAGATAAACATTGGAGAAAGTGATATCCCAAAAGATTACCACTACTATTTCTCCCCATTTCCTGAATTGAGTGTTTAGTGTTTATTACCTTGGATTTTTAGACTGCTGACTACTCTGAAATCTAAAATTCTGTATTTTCCTTCCTATGAATTGGTTAGAGGCTTATAACCATTCTAGGGTGGAGCTTAAGCCCTGTAGGTGATTCACAAAGAGAACTTTTTTGGAAAGGAAAAAAGTCAACAATGAAACACTAAAATTTACCTCATCAATATTTTCAGGTTTCCTTTGCCACCACCTTCTTGGGTAAGGGCATTGGAAAAGATGAAAATCTACTTTGATTTTGTTATAAGAAATTTCAAGGTAATTATTTTGTCATTGGGTTAATTGGAGAGGAAACTGAAAGTCTGTCTGGAAATAGGAAGCAGCTTTCAGCTGGATGTTCTTTCTAATCCTTATCCAGCTAACAAATTGGCTAAAACAGTAGTGACTTACAGAAAGTAGAGGAAAATAGTGTTCTTGCAAACTCATTAATTGTCTGCTGGCAAGAGGAAATGTTTTGTAGGTTTCATCAACAGTTAGTCTTAGCACAGAACCATCCTCACCCAAACTTGGAAAACCAGAAACATTTAATTAGAGTTTGAGGCTTGAGCAACTCATTTGCCAGCAATGCTAAACTGTCAATATATGCAAGGGGAAACTTGTTTTAAACTATTTCAGATAATATTAGCTTTAGTTTTCTTTCTATTCTGTCCTAGTCTAGAGAATGAAACTTATTTTCTATAAGATTATGAAATTTCCACTTCAGATGTATTTTAATTAAAAGTCGGTATCATCCTGCTACCATATAAGCCAGGATCAGTAATAGTTGCAGTGAAACATGATCTGAAATAGAGGATACCTGTAGTAGGAATAGTTGATTTCATTTCAGTTAAAAATAATGTCATTTCAGTAAAAGACCTTACTGTTAAAAGTAAACACATATTTCCAATGCATGAAATATACTAGTAGATTAATATTTCTGAATGGAGATCAGTAACAAGTGGTGTCCCTAAGGAACTTAGTGGGATTGGACTTTGTGGATGGCACCAAACTGTGTGGTATGGTTGATTGGGTTGAGGGAAGGGATGTGGGACAGGACACAGGTAGCAGCATATGGGACAGTGGTTTTAAACTGGAAGGGTAGGTTTAGATCATAAGGAAGGATTTAAGAACAAAACTTTTCATGGTGAGAGTGATGAGACACCAAAGAGGTTGTCCAGAGAGGCTTGGATGCCTCATCTCTAGAAATGTTTAAGTTCAGTTTGCACAGGACTCCAAGCTGGCCATGTCTCTACCTGTGACAGGATAATCCCTAAGATCCCTTCAGACACAGATCATTCTGTGTTCTGTGATTTTGTACAAGTTCTTGTGCAGTAGCCAGTTATCCTAGAAGAACAGAAGTTGGTTTACAACTATCACAGGGTTCTGTTGCTTTGTTATGTGAGTTGCCATTCTATTGCGATGGCTTAAGTTTTAGCTTTCATATTTTCTACATTCTGCACTGCATTGGTATAGAACTTTGAACTTCATAAGAAATGTTAGCAAGTTCTCTTCACAGTTTAGTTAGACAAAGCAATCCTTTTCCAGCCTGAGAAGCAAGGTCACCGTTGCAGCTTCAGGCTCAAAAAATGTAAACAACAGCAAATTGAGGAGAGCAATCTGGGAGGATGGGACTGCATAACGTGAAGCTGTAATTGGACAATTAACCCCAATAAGTAAATGGACCAAAACTTATAAAAGTGTGAAAACTCGTGACTTGGAGTCCATCTTGGGTGGAGCCAGGGCCAGGCTCTTGTGCTGCCCAAGGTGTATCCTTTGAAGGCCTTTTAATAAATTCCTACTTTATTCCTTTAACACTGTCTAGCCTCTATTACAGGTAGCCTCTCCTAGGCATCAGTTGACTTAAAAATGTAAGTACAATACTCAGAGCTTTTTCAAATGTGGAGGAATGTCTTGATTTTAAACAATTTTCTAAGTAAGCTGTAGGCAGTTGAATATGGGTTTTTGTGGTTTTTTTGGAATATCTAGCCAAGGACACTAGTTATTGTCTCAATATTTTCAAGATACTATCTGAGGTTTCCATTGTCACAACTTAATTGCAGTGAATTAGTGGGAATACAAATGAATACATTTTGGCTCAGTGTGTTTCCCACCTGTCTTGTGGAAGCTTGCAAATTTGGTGGTTACAAAAAGATAGTATGTTAAAACGTGTTCAGGTGACGAGGTTTTAAAATCGGTGCATAATGCTTGAAAAATAGAATAATGGATAAAAAGTATAGCTGTGAATCAATACAAGAATTGCATTGTAGGTATTTATTCCAGAGACAATTCAAACAATAATTTTGCTATGTATTTGCAAAGCTGCTGTAACAATCTATCATAAATGTGTTTATTGTTCTCATATTTATCTTCATGAAGTACAAATTATGTAGTTGAATTGGCAATATCTAGTAAGAAATTGTGATTTTAAAACTAGGTGTCTTTGAATACAAACCTGTTTTTCGGGTCTCTTAGATGGAAAAATATGAAACATATAGAAAGTGTATTTGCAAATTTGCAGCTCTATTGGCACAGTCTAATCTGAGCAAATCTTTCTTTAATTACATTTCTGAAGAATGTAACTTCAAAAAGTGCAGCAAAGAGAGAAATACTGTGCTGTGCTTAAGGATGGATTCCTATTTAATATGAGCCATGTACTTCAGATCTCCTGTGCTGGTTTGTGCAAATGCAACAGCTCTGTATTCTGTGCTTACCCAAAAGAGAATGGGGACTACTGTATGCATGGGTCAGCTTTGCCAGGTGGCTGCTTCCCCTTGCAGAATCCTTGAATCTTTTGCTGGAGATGATCTAAGACAGTCTTCAGGCTCTTTGAGCTTTCCACTGGAAATGTTTTTATGTGAAGGTAATAATTCATTGTGTAGGCTTTTCTGCCCTCCATGCCAAAGTGTGTCATGTAACTGAGCAGTTTAATCCTACAGTGCTGAAAGGAACATTTTGGACT